TACCGATTTCACTCGGTTCCAGTCCCAGTGTGCGTTTTTATCCAGGCCCTAGAAACACGTACACTGCCGCCTCACCGAGCAGAATGCCTAGGCTCTGATTCCCACGCTTGCAGACATTAGGCGTTGCCTACACGGTTCGTCTCCTTGATTAAGCCCGTGCTAAATGAGCAAACTATTGGCGCCCCTGTGACATCTCAAGTGGATTTCTAGTACATTTTGGCCCTAATGTTGAATTTCTGTGGCAATTGTGCTTATCCATTTGCCTAGTTCCCTGACCACCAGGCCCCCAAAGTAGTACTGGTTTCTTCGAACAGACTTCACTCAGTGAGAACGTCTTCACTTGATTTCCGAAATTTCCCCACTCTCTTCTTCGTTGCGATTTCCTTTCCTTTGATTAACGATAGGTCCTTGATCCAGCAACCCCTTTTTGCTGGTCTTGCTGTATTCTTGTTTTCCCTCAGTTTGCCTAAGCAGTAGGCAAAGTTATGGTTTACTCTACCTTCATCCAACTTCCTGTTTATTATATTTTTCCTCCAAGGATGTCAATAGCTTCCATAATGTACCGCTTCTTTGGGTTTTCACCGTATAAGGCTCTTCTTTCCGTTGCCTTCCAATTGATCTATTGTCCAGGTTATGCGATGTGTTCCGCTATTTCTGATCTTTCAGTATCCTCTTTCCTGCAGAGCCCTGAATGTTCCCTGTTTCGCCAATACATTTATGTCTGCAGATGCCACATGTTGTGAAGTAAAGTCTTCAACAATCCGATTTGCCGCCCCTTTCATTTTGCGTCGGCAGATTTGTAAATAGGGGTGTTTTTTCCTTCATAGCCACCCAAATATTCAATTTCCTAAGCTTTTGAGTTATTTCGCTGTAAAGTAGGCATATAGACTTTTGGAGATACTTCTCCACCTCTACTGCTCTTTCGTAGTCCCGGTTCTGCCATCGGCTTTTCATGGCCCGTAAGTTTCATTGTCTTACTTCGCTTGGGAAGCCGTTGCCGAGGAATATCCTAGTCAATTTATCAAACTCCTTGTCCCAGAATTACACATCCGTTAAACGTAGGCTTTGGATGATCAGGCTCATCATGATTCCTATTTTTAGTCTGTAGTTGTAATAGAATTGGAAATTGAGTATTATCCCGGCATACGACTTCTTTCTGAACAATTTCTTCTTGAGCGCCCCGTAAGAGCGAATCACTTCAACATCAAGAAAAGTTAACTGCTCACCTTCCTCTACTTTCATCGTGAATTTAATTTTTTCATCAATCTGGATTATACACTTCGAAACGTCTTCCAGCTTTTTTCTTTTGTGTGTCTAAAGTGCAAGTAATAAACCAGGTACAGCATGAGAACTGCTGGCTGTAGCCATTACACCTTGAAGTTCTTTTCTAATTTGTTAATGTATACATTTGCCGAATCAAGTAGTAGTAGAGGAAGGTGAGCGATTACCTTTCCTGGAGGTTGAAGTAATTCGCTCTAATGGGACGCTCTATAATAAATTGTTCAATGACTTCTTTAGACCTTGTTGGTGCTGTGAACATCGCGTCATTTTCCTTAAGTGTAGACAAACTAAAATATCCAGAAACTATATTGTTTGGACTTTCATTCCGCATGAAAGTGTAGGAGGATATTAGAAAGTCGATCTCACCAGAAGAGGATGG